TACTTTATTTTGAAGAATAAATGTTATTAAAAGTTTTTTTCTAAAACTGATAGTTTAGCTGGAAAAAAATATTTTCCATCCCAATAGTACGCCGGCTGCGCTCGATTCGGATATAATGACGTCACGCGGCCCTGCGTACGTTGACTTTTAGCGGCAAAAACGGCCTATGTTTATTACTTAATATCTTCGTAAGTAATGGTCCGATTTGGATAATTCAAAAAGATATATCTTTCTTATGTCTTAAAGATTAACGTAGATACTAGTTTTATTGAATTTTCTACAACAGTACTGATCCTCATTGACTGTCGGCAGCGTTCGATAACGTTTGGCGCGTAAAACAAAAGCTAGGGAGTCATGGCTTTAGTTTTTTTATTGTAATGTAAAGTGAATATTATCTTTTTGTGTTATTAGTGGCCAGTAATCGCTTTGTTAATGTGTGTTATGGGTGCGCTATGCCGTTTCCATGCGAAATATGTTATCGGTGAGTTACTATTGTCTGTGGTAAATACAATACTTATGTAATTAACTTACTAAATTATGTATTAAGTAATTCATTAATAGATTAATATTAACGGTAGCTATTACTAAAACCTAACACACCCTACCTATACACAAAGCTTATTAAAAGATAGGTGTATTGAATATGTACTTGCGTTTTGCACGTAAACGTATCCCTCGTTTAAACCAATAACTTTACGCTCCATACAAGGTAAACTGCTTCTCACGCGAGAACAATGGCAATTGAAATGGACGATAAATCCTCTGAAAGATCGCAGAATGTTTACAGAGGGCTGCTACGGCGATCCAGTTGCATCCGGTGTTAGCTTGAGTCAGGTGCACACTGTAAATAAAGATTAATTCCTTCAATCTACTTGATCTTTAGTGTATCCATGTTAATTTTTTATAATGTTTTAATGTTAATATTTTCTTTTGCATGCATAAATTATGCTACACATCTGTCTCCTTTTCAACTTTGACTGTACAACCTAGCTTTAGAAACTTTAAAGGCCAATGTATAAGCCACTTAATTTTAAGCTGCATGTGTCAAATAAGGCTGTATGTTTCTTTAATAAAGATAAATAAATAAATATACAGTACTCTTAGTCTTTTTGTATCAGTCTTTAGTTCATATTAAAGGATTCTCTTTAAATATGAGTTTTTATCTTTATGTAAAAGCTTGTCTAACTCTATTCTGAGTTAAATAAAAAGCATTATTTGATAGAGCGCTACTTATTGAAACGGAAAAGCTTTAAAATATTTTGACGAAGCTTAATCGGTAAAATAAAGTAATATAGGTACTTTGGATTTAATGAGCTCGCGAACAGTTTACGGTGCACGCCCTTAACCAAAGACCTTTTAAGGTTTGCAAAGTTTTCCTTTACTGAAAATTCAAAATATCTTGGAATTTTAATTAAATCTAATCCGCCGTAAATAAACTTTTATTATATGTAGGTATAATAAAAGTTTCTTTACGTACGATACGTTTTTCTATTGCTAATTACAACCACATAAAATGCCACAGTGTTTACTTCACATACAGTGGCTGTACGTTCATCACTTCCTTCTCCATTTTACCGCTCTATTGCGTACACAACACACACAAGCCTATAAAATAAAGCTCCAGTGCATTAATCGCTAGTTCCGCGATATAAATAGGCGGTAACAAGCGCATCCTGTGGCGCCCGCGGCGCGTGCGTCGATGCAGTGCAAGGAAAGTGGAGTTTTATGGTTTAATTGATGATGATTGACTAAAACGTCAACAACGGCCGTAATCTAACGTTTATTTATGTATAAAGGATAATGGTTGTTATTCCTTTAAGAATTAAAAATATGTACCTCGGTTGTGGTATTTTAGTTGTCGTTACGAGTATGTACTTTGAAAATATTATTGTCATTTCAAGTTGAAAAATAGTTACTGTTGCTACAGTTATATTCATTTGATTACGATACATCCTTCATTTTAGTCGCTTAAAAACAGCAGCTAGTTTTTCGTACTTAGTTCTATAAAATTTTCCCTGTTTAGAAAGACAATTTTGCTAATTCCTTTATGTTCTTACGGATTTTTTTATACACCACGAGCAAGCTCTTGGCCTGTATCTCATCTGATGGGAAGTGATGATTACGCCGTAGGTAGGTACTTACATTTCAACTTATTTGCCTATAGAAAAAGCCTTTAGTGGCAATGGCGATGAGATCTTATTTCATAAGTATTCTTTGTTATTAACACACAGCTGTCCCTGAATTTCACGCCACCATTTTCTATCTAGCTAGGCCATAACATCATGGATTTACCCAGCCAACAGTAGTAGTATACGTGTTACAATTACTGCCTCAATGTAATGTCAAAGCTTTTAATGTTCACCTACTTGTCATCACCAATGATGGCCGACATGTAGATTGTAGATGGAGCGTTAAGGATAAACCGCTGGCTATCAAGTGTACCGTTCGCTGACATATGGAACGAACACGGCGGTATAATGGAAGGCTGTAGATAGGTAATGGATATACTTCACGCTTGGGAATCAATTAAATTAGATTTACAATTTTCATCCATATTCCGTTATCATTAGAAAAAGTCTTAACGAGAGTAGGCTTAATTTACTTGAGTTTCAATCGCCAGTTCGCATTTATAATTAAACTATTTTAAGTGACACTGAAAAAAGGCTGACAATGAGTACCGTGTCTGAGTTTCTTTACAGAATATATATTTACGATTAATACGGTATTATACTACTGTAATTTTGCTAGCTATCGAATGATACCAAATATTGGCATGTCAGTGTCAAGATGCCCAACCCATGCCATTTAAAGGAACAGGTGAACACTAACAAAAATAAAACTTTAACTCTTGCAATTTGTCGAGAGGCGGGTCGAGTCACACATTTGAAGTATTTTCGTCAATAAAATTGTCCATATCACGCCTTTAAAGTTTGATCACTACTTCCCCGGACACACTGTATAATACCGCTCGTCACTTGTTTTATTAATGCATGTACTCTAGTCTCTACTGTCAACGGGGTTGTGTTAAGTTACATGCACCAGTTTAAATGCTGACTACTACCATTTCTGAAACAGTCAGTTGTGACTCATCCGAGTGAGTGCGTCCGGTGAATGGCCTGAATTGCCTACTTCAGTCGTAATTGGAACAAAACAATATTAATTAAGTTTTACTGTGGTAGATAGCGACCACAAATAGACAGTAACTAGATGCTATCAATCAACAACTATTGAATTAAAACAATAATAATAAAGTTTTTATTGCGGTAGATAGCGATCATAAATAGACAGTAGCTAGCGTATTGATAGCATCTATAATTATTCTAGATGCTATCAATACGACTACATAAAAAAGGATTATTAAGTAATTATATCGCACATATTTTTTTAAACTTGAATATTTCGGGTGGTTTACGGATTTGGTTTCACAAAGAAATCATCCCGATCTTTTCATTTCCTACAGAAAAATACTATTCTGTTACCAGTTTAGCCAAAAATGCATCAAGGGTGAATCAGAAGTTCAGAAGGCAGACATGCCTATTTTTAGTGGGGATCGCACGCGCAGCGTATCCTGCCTGCTTTTCGTTATCCTTGTTAGCGAGTTTTGTTTGACATCAATGATAAGCAAGAAAGCATGTTGTGTGGTCCTATTATCCTCTTTTGTCTAATGCTTAGGTAATTATCCTCTTTTTATAAGGCTACACTAAGTAATTTTATTACTTTTTATATTAGTTAATGTGCAACTACGCTTTATAATACTTGTACTTAAATTAAAACAATTTTAAATGTTCATTAGAGTGGATTTGATTGTTTCTTTTCGTTTCAGGATTGATTAGCGGTGTTTTTCTTATTATTTTAGTCCTATGCCTATCTACTTACTATCATTAGCATTTAAGGCCATATTGAAAGACTTCAATGCATTTCATGTCTGCCTGCCTATTCATATTCATTACAGTTTTGTTAGTCAATTTACTAGCATTCTGTATGAAGAAACCAGCAGCTACATTATTCTGTGAATTATGGCTTCCTTATTTTTATGGGGTAAAAAGATAATGATGGTTGTGGCGAAAAAACTATAATCAGCATCATTAAGGAAATAGTCGGAATCGAACCTAGTAGTTGCGGTATACCGTGTTGAGATTATGAGCATAATAACTATACCATGATACTACGTGCACGCATGGATAGAAAAAATGTGCGGAAGATTTGCGCGCGCGCACAAAAACATAGGTAGAGCGTGAATTATGTTTGAAGGGCGAATTTTTTATTACATTGCGCTCTTAACACATAATCTTGATTATGTATGAAACTGTACGTATGAAAATAGCCCTTAAATGCAATTATTGAATCCTTACATTATTTTAAATGTATGTTGTTACAAACCAATGATTTAAATTACTGTTAACCACTCCATTGACCAATGCTATTATAATAATTTTAAATGACATTAATTACAGGATGTTTGTCATTTTAGAACTCTACAACACGTTCGAAATAGTTTTAAAGGTCGTAAAAAATATCATAATTTCATCAAACGATTCTTAGTCGTCTACCTCCTATTAAAATATCTCTAATAAAGTGTAGGTAGCAATGATACGATAGAATCGTAAAACAGGATAATAAAAGTTAAGTAGCTCAGAAATCATAAATCGAAATTGCCTATATTTATTTCTTACTTCAGTACTCACCTGTCGGTACTAAAACATAGGCGTCTACCTACCTAGGTCATTAAAGCTGTTTAATATTAATTAACAATAAATAACTTTTCGAAAATAGCTGCCCTTTAACTCGTTTTTAATTACAAATGGTAATTGTTTTTAAACCATATCGCGCCATCTACTGACATCAATTTGAAACCATTCTGACAGATTTGCAATTGCATTCGAATTTCAAAACTTTCCTGTTGACGTTGACACAAATTAACCTCTTTAAAAAAATAATTGCCATTACAACAAAAGAAAAAGAAGAATTTCAAAATTGACGGCCATCTTTGATTGTTGCAGAAGGCGAATTAGAGGCGGAATGGCTGCAAGCGGCGGGCCTGGGGTCCCTCGCAGCGCCCTTCCAAGCTGGCCTGGAGGTGACGGAGGCCCAACTGGGTGAGGCTGTCAGGCCTTTGCCAAGGGAACAGGCCGCGGCCGTCAGGCGGCGCGTGCGCCGGCTCAACAGAACTGTGAGGAGGAAGCGGGCTGCTTCCAGAGCGAAGAAGCCTGATATACGCGATGTGTTCAGGGATCTCGAGGTGAGTGTCTTTCTCTTTTACACTAGATGGATTCAGTTCTCGGTCATACTTGTAGACAAAATAAGGAATAGTTTAGGTCATCTTGGAGGACACCACGCACTTTGAGATTTCTAGGACTAAACGAATGATAAAGTAAGTAAGAGTAAGTATGAGCACTGCTGCATAGATCGCAAAAATAGACCATTCTATTGTAGTTTGGAAACACAACGCCTGAAACAACAAAGTCCCAAGTTTCATTGAAGAGAAGTTACTTATGGTAAAGTTGATGTGACGAGTACTTGTGTGCAGTCAAATACCTGCCTTGTTATGCATAAAAAAAACTTTAACAACAAATCAACTAAAGTGATAACCTGCACTACTTAACAAATCACGGTCTAGCCACGAGACTTTATAAAGTCGGCAAGTTGAATACACGTGTTCACGTAAACAACGATTAGGATAATCTAATTTTAACGAAACGATTTAAATCTCATCGTAACTCGTTTAGAACGGACCAATTCTCAAAAGATAATTACTGAAGAATGCGCTTGAAACATTGGACGGCAAGACAGACAGGTGTCAGAAAGAGTTAGGCCTCTTCAAAATAAGTTGAATGTTCTAGATCAAGTTGTACCTCCTCTTGTCAAGAACTGTCAGGCATGTAGCCGAGCTAGACATCAAGTCTCCAGCAAATGCAATCTAGTTTGTGTTTTAATTTCGTCTACCAAAGTCGCTTTTTGATTGGACCGAGGTCGTGATTGGTATGCATAAACTGATCTGCGTATTGAGATTGTTTAAATATGTGTGTGTCACGACTGGTTTGGCTCTGTCAAGTTTAAGAGCGTTTTTTTGGTGGTTTCTACGAGACCGTTACTGAATCCGACCCGACGGGTTTGCGCGTGCGGCTGTTGACTGCTCAGCTAGAAATGTAGCAATGCTTTTAATTATAGTACAGTTAGTTGACAAGATCGTCAGGAACTTTAATAAGCAGGCGCTAGTCTGAGTGTCAGGGCTGACAATGCTTAAAACTAATAGCAATACAAGTTAATTAATGTCATTAATAGCTGTTAAACCTGAGTTAAAATTTATTAATTAGGAAATAATGGAAAAAACAATAAGATAACGTAACGGAATTAACCTCACTCCAACTACTGTTTTCATACCACTGTTATGACTATCCATTGATTTGATATGAGGATGTAATCATAAAAATAATTTAAGAGCACCATATTATAAAACACTGTTTAGTCTGTTTTCATCAAATGAAAATAATTTCAGAAGAGCAATAAAAACGTAGAGTCTACGGGACTATTCCCACCACTGCAACTCCTGTGTAGCCAGGATCTACAGTTTGACCGCCACAAAAAAACGTCCGTTGTCCCGGGGGAAAGTTAAACTGTCATTGGACCCGCAACGTAGAGTCTGATGATTTTCATTTTAAAGTGCGACCACATTTTCTCGTTCAGTGTAACTCAGCAAATTGTGAATCACGGATTTCCCAATCGAGACCGTAACTTGTTCGTAAAATCAGTAAAATGTACGAGGTTTAATTGGTTATGTACTTTACAATTTATTGTTCCTGTTCGATACTAAATGTGGAGCGTTTAAGTTTTAGTTCCGCTGCTAATTGTGAACTACTTAATTACTAGTGTTATATTTCGTAATAATGTATAAATTATGGTTCTCGTATTCTTTTCACCGAGTTAATTTATTTGTAGATATATTTTTATTATTTTCACTTTGCTATTACAACTAAATGAGGATGTAATCGCAATGATTTTCGATATTATTAAACAATTTTGCGGGAAAATAATCCACTGCTATTGAACCTTCGATTCACAATACCAATTAGATATCGGATCAGCGCAAAAATTACGTTTCGGGAAATAATCACCCACTTGAGAGTGAGTTCTTTTATTTAGTTGATAAGTATTTAACATAGAAGCATTGTCCAATACCTATAATTGTATACTCTATAGTTATTGCCCTTAAACACTGTCTTTACTTACATTAATAAATAATTAGTGGTAATTAGTAACAAACAACAGAAATAAACAGCTGTTTATAATATAAGCAATGGCTATAACGAATCAATAAGTATTCCCCAGACGTCGTAAATATAGGCTTTCGAGTCGGTCGTGTGAAAATTCTAGGTTATTGGCGGCATTTCCTCTCAGTGGGTACAGTCAGCTTGGAAAATATGTAGCCAAGGCTATTTTCGTTTCGAAAAAAGAAGTGGTCGTGATGTAAAATGCGTCATCGTCACTTTAGTCTACTGCGAGCCACTAAAGCTGAGTTGCACCAACTTACTATAACCATAACTTTAACAATAACCGGTGTTTTTGTATGGAGTTTGACAGAATTTTGCATTTGTTAAAGTTAAAGCAAGATGATTCAACTTAGCCTAAGTCTATTTTTTATACCTACTCTCATAACATAGATTAAGATGGTTGGAGGAAAGTTTAAAACCTAGCCTTGTCACACCTGCAGTGTAACCGGTAATAAGTAGACAAGTTCTTAAGAATACGCGACTTGTAAACGCAAGCAGACACCCTGAGGCGAGACGAGTGCCATGATGCAGACAGCTGCAGAGGAAAATTAAATATTTAAAGGAATATTTAAACTTACATGGACACATTTTAATATAACTGCCTTGTATTATTATAATAATGTGTGTACGGTCGCCAAGAGATATACCTACAACAAAATAATTAATTTTGGACTTTAAAGCTGTAGTAATAATTTAAAATCAATTTATTTTATTGCAGAGTGATATGCTGGCGACTGTACATAACATTCAACGAACGACTCTACATCACGAATAAAATTCTTTCACGATCACTATAAACATATATGTATTTACAAAGATCCTTAATCCATAGCCCCATAGAATAGTCAGGAAGTGGATAGATAATATTGCGGCAGAGTGTACCAAAGGTAGCAGGTCTCATGCTCATGTCCAATCAATCGAACGATTCTCATTGCGGTCGCGACGAGTTTGCAGTTATGTAGAGAAAGGGTTACAAATGACAGGTTATCACAGATCAGCGATATCATATAATTCTTGTTATTACAACAGTCAAAAATGAAGTAGGTATAATTTTCAAAGTAGTTATCAAAGTACGCATAAAGTTCAAAAGGTACACCTAAGTTTTGCAATGACGCATCTTAAGGGCACCACATTAGTATTCACTAGGGCAAAACAAACAATGGAAGATGGATTGCAAATAGCAAACATTACCTATGCAAATATATTAAGCACTATCAATCCTGTACCTACTCTAGTATCATCTATGATACATTAAAACTGTATGTTTGATTATTACAAATAGCCTCTACGTAATAAAATAGAGCTGGCCACCATTAAAATTGTTTCAAAACAAGCCAGTTATTAATGTACCTTACGTGACGGAAGGTGTATTAGGGGCACAGATAACTAACATCGGTGGTCATTAGATAAATACGCAATTAAGCCTCACAGACATTAGTTTGCTGGATAACCTCAGTTTTCGAACCTTACTGGCCAGATGAGGTCGTATTGTTTATAAAAACTCGCGCGACAATGTAGATAACACTGGAAGATCGAACTTTTTGGCCATATGAAAATAAAAAAAAACAAATGAAGAAAAAAACGAAACAATAGAGGATCATGTTCCCAGTTTAAAAAATAAGTGGCGCGCGCGAATAGTCAGCCGAAACGGACGTTGGCTGAACGTAAAATTGCTTTGCGTCCGGTAAATTTCAAAACCGAATTGAGTGTTGTTACACAGAGTGCTGAGTGTCGGTGATGCGTGCAGTTGTTTAGTTGTTTGTAAACAGTGGCATCATGATTTGTGACACGGTCCGCTCGAAGGTGTGTGAGAAGATGAACAGCTGTAAGGGGCTGGCGTTGGTGAAAACCTACTTGGATTCTTTGGTATGTTTTTTGATTGTGTGAGTTTGCTCGTGCTTTGTGATAAGGGAGTCGCTGAAACCTCGAAGTGCTAGAGAACGGTCACACTACAAGTAATAGACAAGTATACACTTGAAACTGGAGTATGTAGGAAGTGTGTTGGTAGACACATAACGTATTGTAGAGTTTTCCTGATAACTTTTGTTGACAGTTATTTTTGATAACGATTGTTTACTATTCGAATTTAACCTGCTATTATGAAATCGTCATGTCACATGTTTTTGTTAGCACGTCAATCATTTTAAAATAGACGCATTAGTTCGTATCGAGATAAAAACAAAACACAACTACCTACATATTTTTTGATTGATTTACATCTTCTCTTCAATCTAACATATTGTTATGAAAAATCTTATCTTCATCATAAGTAAAACGTATAATCTGATTATTTGTTTATTTCAATTGTATCTACAAGGTTTCCTACTAACTTTTAGTACAAATATTTATTAATCTGTATAGTAGATTTTAAGATACTAATACAAAGGTCCTTCTACCTATGGACAAATAAATAAAAAACTATCATAAGAACAATCAGTAGTATTAGCTGTAGTATAGAAGTGCACTTACATTAGGTACCTATAAACTATCCACTGTTTCAGTTTTAGTCTAGTTACATTTAATGCATAAATTAAAATCATCTAAAGCTTGTATTCTGAAACGCAATAACTTTTTCTGATGCTCTAATCTGACATAGGTCAAATTAATAGAGGCCATTGATCTCAGAATGATCCATGATGGTCATCATCCAATGGTCTTCTCCAATCTTAATTAGGAGTCTGTCCATCAGACAGCTGGTCGTTCCTTTAGTAATGATGCCATTATGACCGGATAACACGCATATTTCAGCTTCTCTGGACTAATGACTTTTTTAAAGATAAGCTTTGTATTTGAAATAGTTTTTTAATCAGACCATTTTTTAGTAAATGAACATCTACTTATTTTTAAAATTGTAACTTTTTTATGATATGGTTGGTTTCCCATTAATGTCGGGCTATCTTTTGGGTATCAAGAACGCCCTGGCTTGGTGTCTCGCGTGACAACGTCAGCTGCTATTCGAATCCCGATGGGG